AATCAGCAGGAGATTGTGAGTTCTAGTCCCGCCTTAGGCATGAAAGCTGGCTGGGCAACTTCTAGCCAATCAGCAGGAGATTGTGAGTTCTAATCCTGCCTTAAGACATGAAAGCAGGCTAGATGACTTTGGCCAGTTATTCTTCCTCAGTCCAAGCCACCTCACTGGATTGTTGTTGTGGAAAAAATAGGAGGAGAAAGGAGTAGTATGTGTGTTCATTGCCTTGAGTTGTTTACAAAAATAATAAAAATGGGATATAAATAATATAATAATATAATGTAACGTAATGTAATATAGTACAATATAATATAATGTAAGTCTTTACATCTCTAATTTGCTGAGGTCGAGAAACACCGTTCTAGGATATGAATCCAGACGACCTGCTCTACACAGGTAGACCTCAACTTACAACAGTTCATTTAGGGACCATTCGAAGTTACAACGGCACAAAAAAGTGACTTAAGACCATTTTCCACACCATGAGCATTGCCGCATCCCCATGGTCATGTGATTGATATTCAGATGCTTGACAACTGACTCACATTTATGACGGTTGCAGAGTCCTGGGGTCACATGATCCCATTTTTGCGACCAGCAAAGTCCATGGGGAAACCGGATTTGCTTAACAACAGTGTTACTAATTTAACAACTGCAGGGATTCATTTCACATATGTGACAAGGAAAGTCGTAAAATGGGACAAAACTCACTTAACGAATTTCTCACTTAATAACGAATGTTTTGGGCTCAACTGTGGTCATAAGTTGAGACCTACCTGTATATAAGAAAAGCCACGCTCCTTAAAAAGAAAGAGACAGCTGACAAAGTAGAAGTAGTCCTTGACGTACGACCACAACGGAGCCCAAATTCTCAATTGTTAAGCGAGGCAGTTGTTAAGCAAGTTGTGCCCAATCTCACTCCCTTTTTGCCACAGTTAAGTGAATCAAACAGTTATTGATAGGATAGGATGGGATGGGATGGGATGGGATGGGATGGGATGGGATAGGATAGGATAGGATAGGATAGGATAGGATAGGATAGGATAGG